CTACAACTTGAATACTAAAAATATGGTGTTTGAAAAGAAAATGTGAAAAAATGGAGGACTAGAAGGTTGTCATATTCGTGATACAAGTTGTGAGCTGATAAAAAGTCCTCACCTTTCCATGCTTCTATCCTCAGGATACTGAAATCCTTCTCCTCCACACCGCAACCTCCTCCGGGCTGGACAGGCAACTTTATCTCATGCGGGCTGCCCTTGGAGCGGCACCGCTGCTCCTGAGGGAGCGCACCCGTAGCCGGGTGCAGTGAGTGCCTTGGGGCTGGGTGGCCTGTCCTCTGGACGGGCTCAGCCCCGGCGACTCACTAGGGTGCCTGCCCAGACCAATGTCTCCCCTAAATCCTATCATCCTTCCGGCTGCAATGGTCTTGTCGACCGAAAGGGCCTAACCCAACAAAACAAAACAAAACAAACATAAAAAGTCCTCCGCCCCATGAATGTCAGTCCATCATCCATCAGCAGTGCTACTACTATGTACCATAAAAAATAACGCGATTTATTGAAACCTTGAACCAAGTAAACAAACCGTCAACAGCAGACCGCCAGACGCCAGTGGGGTCAGGGGTTACCACACTGGTGAGCGGTTGGACAGTGGTGGGTTTGCATGGGTATATAAGAAGTGTTTGCATAATAAGAACTAGTTGAGTGAACGATATGGTTGAGCTATACTGCCGCTGTGTCACTCAGTGATGGCCAGAAAGAACGGTGTACTGCGTGCCTTTGAGAACAAGTGCGAGATAGGTTTCTGAGAGGAATAACGTAAAGAAGATTACCAATCGCGGCTTTTTCATGAGCCATACCGTTATCTAACGGGGACAAACACAGAAAGGCTCAGTCAGAGCTTTTGGTTTGCGAGGTGTTGGAGAAGCTCAGTATGTTGTGGGAACTTAACGCTGTTCAGTGTGATTCCGTTGGCTGTTGCGCTGTGGTCCTATGTAGTCTGTAGAAGCATCGTTTATCTCCTCTCGAAAGTAACACTTATTACGGAGCGAGCGAAGCGAGCGTAGTCTTTCCTTAGATTAATGGAAATTTCTGAGTATGAGCGGCCGGCCGGCCGGCCGTGGTCACGATTCTGCGACGCTTATATCTCAGCAACCACTTGACAGATTTACACGCGGTAATTTTTGTAGGGTAGCTTCATTCCTTCTACCAAGTATTGGACTATTCCCGATGCATGTGGGTGACCCCCTATGCACGTGCCACGTGCAAAACGAAGAGGTGTCACTTTTGTAATTGTTGCAATATCTCGGTAACTAGTTGGCCGATTACGCTGAAAGTTGGCATGTAGGTAGGCACCCACTAGGCAATGCATATCCATGTGCCAGAGTTGGGGTGCTGCTGCACGTGCGCACGTGCAGGGGTCGATTCCAGATCTCGAGAACGGCTGGACCGATGGCGCTCAAATTTGGCATATGGCTAAGGACCGGTTAGTAGGGTGCCGTGCACAAGTCAGTTGGGACCCATTTTGCACGTGCGCACGTGCAGGGTGCCGCTTCCAGATCTCGAGAACGGCTGGGCCGATTGTGCCCAAATTTGGTACATCGCTAGAGACCGGTTAGTAGGGTGCCGTGCACAAGTCAGCTGGAGGTACCCCCTCGAAATTTCGCACGTGCAAGGCTCACCCTCTCGCTCGCTCCGTTAGTCGCCCCAAAAGGCGTTATACTGGTTACGAGCGAGCGAGCGCAGCGAGCGAAGTGAGTCTTTTCAATATAACGGAAAAATCTCAGTATGAGCGGCCCGGCCCGGCCCGGCCTGTAACGCTTTTGAGAAGCTTATATCTCAGCAACCGCTGGACCGATTGACCTGCGGTCTTTTTTGCTGGGTAGCCCCATCCCTTCTACCCCGTAATTGACTACTTTTGATACATCTCAGTGACCGTCGTGGCACGTGCCACGTGAAAAGTCAAGGGTGTTCAAGCTGTTTTGCAAAAGTAGTGATTTTGAGAGGCCCATATCTCAGCAGCCGCTTGGGCGATTGTCTTGCGGTAATTTTTGTAGGGTAGCTGCATCCCTTCTACCAAAGGTCGGATACTCTTGATCTATGTGCACGTGCACTGCACGTGCAAAATGCAAAAAAGAGGTGCCAAATTTGTTCCCATTTCAATAACTCGGTAATTACTGGGGCGATTTCGCTGAAACTTGGCATACAGGTAGGCACCCACCAGGCAATGCCTTCCCATGTGTTGCGGTTAGGGTGCTACTGCACGTGCGCACGTGCAGGGGGCGCTCCCAGATCTCGAGAACGGCTGGGCCGATTGCGCTCAAATTTGGTACACGGTTGGGGACCAGTTAGTAGGGTGCCGTGCAAAAGTCAGTTTGGACCCCGTTTGCACGTGCGCACGTGCAGAATGCCGCTTCCAGATCTCAGGAACGGCTGGGCCGATTGCGTTCAAATTTGGCACACCGCTAGCGACCGGTTAGAAGGGTGCTTTGCACAAGCCCCGTTGGAAGTACCCTCTTGCCCTTCCGCACGTGCAGGGCTCACTATCTCGCTCGCTCGTTCTTCGCCCAAAAGGCGTTTTACTGGTTGTATAATTTTGCTAGCTCGCAAAGTTTAGTCCCAAAGTTAAGGAATGTTCATTGTAATTGCATCAATAAATGCAGGACCGAAAACAAATGCGCTGTTCTTCGTCTATTTCTTGTTGGGATTCTTAATCGACTGATCTCATTTTCTATTACCGGAAACAACTGTTCATACGTTTAACTACGTGGCAACCCTGACTGCGTATAGTATCGCAGGTACGCTGATGTGGCCTTTGGTCGTGGGCATTTACACATGAACCTGCTGCTGCGACCCTTATCGGTCTCCGGATACAGAAGCCCTTGAGAACCGGCGCGGGCGGACCTTTCGGACGAGGTCTTGCCGAGGTGATGCGGGAGGTAGAGGACGGACCGTCCATAGCGCCGGTGAGCTATTCTCTAACTATCTCCCGGAGTCAGGGTGGCTGCAATTTTTTTTGCGCTGCCCTGGCTTGGCCGGATTGACAAAAATGTAAAAAATCAAAAAAAAAATAATTCCAGAAATCCGAGGAGAAAAATAGGGGTAGCTCGTTTTTTTTTGTTCCTAAGACTGGACGTTTGAAATTCTCGCCGACTTGCCTGGCGGCGCAATGTTTGCCCCCCCCTAAACTCAAATCCTAGATCCGCCACTGATGGTAAGTGCAGTGTGCTAAGCATACCGCCGACCTGCCCACCCTTATCCAAACCAACTGTATCATGTACGCAGACGACATCAAACTCTACCACCGCATCACCTCCCACTCTGACACAGAACTGCTCCAGGCCGACCTCAACCGTCTCTCCACCTGGTCCGCTGCATGGCGTCTAAAATTAAATCCTACCAAATGTCATGTCATCTCCTTCTCCCTACGAAAATCTCCCATCCTAGCCACATACACTCTAGATGGCACTACCCTACAGCGCCGATCCGAAGTCCGAGACCTAGGAGTAATCCTCGACTCCAAGCTTACGTTTGCCGCCCACGTTGACCAGACTGTTGCCAAGGCAAACCGGATGTTAGGACTGATTATCCGTAGTATGCAACTGTCTCGACGCTACAGCAGAGCCGCCTTTGATCACAAAACCATGTTGTGTACGTACTACGCTCATGTGCGTTCAATCATCGAGTATGGCTGTGTCATATGGGCTGGAGCGGCTGCATCTCACCTGACAAGGCTCGAGCGAGTGCAGCACAAGTTTCTGATGTGGTTAGCTCGTTACTCTGACAGGCGCTCTGACGACCTGGACTACTTGGTTTTACTCTCACATTTTAAAGTGCGCTCCATCAAGTCTAGATTCATACAGTACGATATCATGTTTTTATTCCACATTCATCGTGGGAAGCTGGACAATGATGTGTTAGTCGGTGCGTTCGGTCTTGCCGTACCGGCACGGAGGACGAGGAGCACGGTTCTGTGGAACACACCGCGCGCGCGAGTGAACACTGTACAACGATGTTTGTTTGTCAGGATCCCAGCTGCATGCAACTCATTCTTGCTCCATGACCCGACCACCGACTTCTTTACTGGTAGTTCATACTCATTTAAAACACGCGCTATCGGCTTCACAATTACGCAAGGCACTTTTATGTGATCTTTTACATCATACTCACGTGCTTTACTTTTATCGATCTTGTTTTATCGAACGTTTATTCTTATGTAGGTACTGTCATCTTGTGTATTGCTTGTGTGTAACTGACTTCGTCAGTAAAAGGGCGATGGACCTGTTGGCGATCTAATTAATACAGAATACAGAAAAGCATTCACGATAGTATTTAGTTTAGCATGTAGGAAATTTGATGAAAGCACCATCCTCAGGCCTCCTAACCATGAAACATTCAAAAGGAAACTCTGTTCTCAAATATCTTCCATAACAGGCAGATACACGAGCTGAAAACGAGCTAAAACCATTCCATACACAACTTTCTGACTTCACTGAAACGTCTGAAAGCCACGTCTAATGACAGCCACTTCACCACCAGTCCATTACCACCCTCCATTACCTCCATTAGCATCATTAACAGCCCATTAACATCCCTCTCTTTCCTCCCCCAGCGGACGAGCTGAACGCTGAAGCTCTGACCACCATCGAGAACTGCTTGTTCGTCGTCTGTCTCGACGATCCGCTCCCGACTTCGTTCAACGGTCGGAAACGCCTCAGTTTTGACGGGGGAGTGAGCGATGGAAGGGATGACACGGCGATGGCTCATCAGGCGCTACACGGTGGAGGAACGCTGTACAATACGGCGAACAGGTGGTTTGATAAAACAATACAGGTGAGTGAGGTATAAAAATTGATGGAGGTGAGGAGGAAGGGGATAATTCGCCGGTGGATAAGATTTGGATGGAAGAATGAGGAAAGGAAGAAGAAATAGGGAAAGTGGGGTAGGGTTATGGAAAGAGACGGGAATAGGTGGCGGGAAAGAGAATGTTGGAGAAGAAAAAGATGCGTTAGGGAATTGAAGGTTTGGGAGAGGGATGAGGAAATAAGACTAGTGGAAAGAGGGAAGAAAGGAGGGTAGAGTGGTGTGGAGTGTGGACGGTTGTAATGATTGTGGTTTTTGAATCCACGGATAAACACAGCAACGTGAGACAATTTTTCATTCTAAAACAGCCACGTATTTCCCCTTCCTCCCTTTCTCTCTCTCTCTCTCTCTCTCTCTCTCTCTCTCTCTCTCTCTCTCTCTCTCTCTCTCTCTCTCTCTCTCTCTCTCTCTCTCTTTCTCTCTCTCTCTCTCTCTCTCTCTCTCTCTCTCTCTCTCTCTCTCTCTCTCTCTCTCTCTCTCTCTCTCTCTCTCTCTCTCTCTCTCTCTCTCCCCCGCAGCTTATCGTCTCGCCGGACGGCATGTCGGGCCTCTGTTACGAACACTCGGCCGCCGAGGGCATCGCTGTCGTTCAGCTGATGGAACAACTGGTGGCCGCAGCTGACCGAGATGACGTCACTATGACGGCACCCACCCGCCAACTGGAGGCGCCCTATCACATAGAGTGGTTCCCCAATGATGGCATCAAACAGAGGATTGATACCAGCAGTGAGGCGGTAGACAGGTAAGAATATATTATTTTATCAAAGAAAAGGCCGACTTCGGAGGTGGTCTACCTTGAATTGTCACTGGCGGCTTACTTTACTTACAAAGTAGGTACCTACTGCCCCTTTGGTTTGTTCCACACAAACCGTGCAAATAACCATCTAGCTTACATGAACCATTTCCTTATTCACAGATTGATTGACGATCTGGATTTTCTGGTGTTACGATTCCCTGAGTACGGCAAAAACTTCATCAAGAGCGTCCGATGCAGTCCCGACGCCTATCTCCAGCTGGCGCTTCAGCTGGCCTACTATAGGTGAATTTGTGATGGACGCCCATTTATGACATTGATTATCTCCAACTGTCATTAAATTACAACGTTTCAGCCTCAATCTATTCAGGCTACTGTCCGTCAAAACAAGAATAAATGCGAAGTTAACAAACTGGCCTACATGTGAATATAGCTTTGACGCGTACTGCATTATTTAGTTTATGGTCCGGCCACTACATAGCACCAGACACCAGTCTAGCACTGCTTACCACACCTGCATCTATGCTGTTCCGCAATGCACAATGTTTCCGAACCTTCCGCTAGATGCCACTAAGCTACACGCCTGCAGTTATACTGTACCGCCACACTCCGGGAGAAAGTTTGTAACTTCGCCGGCAGATGGCAGCAGGCTAAGCGCCTGTGCCTATACTGTGCCGCATCGCACGCAACCTAGTTCCCACTCTTGCCGCTAGATGACAGGGTAATACACGCCTGAAGTTATGCTGTGCCGCAAAGCTTACGATCTTGCCGCTAGATGGCTCTCGCATCAGCGCCTGAATGCATACTGTGCCGCATTGCAGAGAACTAATTCACTCGCCGCTAGATGACACTAGTTGTAACGCCTGTGGTTATGCTGTACCGCATTACACGAGCGGCATGAAATTATGAGAAGGGAGAGAAAAAATGTTCAGGAGCCAGGAGGTGCAGGTAAATGTCGTCAACACTCAACAGAATCATCGAAAATGATTATGTTCGAAACACAAAGAAGACATTGGACGGTGACCTTTGACCTTTGACCTGGTGACCTTATTAGTCTAGTCTGACGGAAGCGGCTGCCCTCGGGGTATTGGACGGGGAAATATGCGGCTGACATTGTATAGACGACGTGATGATCGCATTCACGACGACGTAACACGGTGATCACATTCGACGTGATGTTCTACACTTCGATCCTTTTTTCTCTTATTAGTTATTTATGTGGAGACCTTCAAAATTGTTACCACCGCTGAAAATCTCCCCCAGGAGTCATGACGAGCTAGTGGCGACCTACGAGTCGGCGTCGATCCGCCGATTCCGACAGGGGCGGGTGGATAACATCAGAGCGGTGACCCCGCAGGCCCTGGCCTGGGTCAAGGCCATGGATGACGTCAGCACAACCGTGAGTTGACGGAGCGGAAAGATTGAGGGAAGGGGAGGGGCGATAGAGCGAGGGATAGATGGAGAAGAATAGGCAAGTCGACTGGCTGGTCGACTCAGTGTTACATTTTTCAGACTTTTTGGTGGCAAATCACACCTGATGGGGAAAATACTTTCATCCCTAAAATATGAATGACCGACTTTACTTCATCTCTGAAAAAAGTTTCATGTATTCCCGACAGCCAGTTTACATGTCACTTGACAGTTGATGCACCCACATCCTTTTGTTTCACACCCTGTCAAGATTCTGACATGAAATCCTGGTTTAGCAGTTGGTATAAAAATTGGGATTACACCATTTTGCAAATATACTTCGGTTAGTTATTTCCTCTTTTCTCATCCTAGGATTTTTTTCTTCATCGGCACACCCAACCAAAATCCAATTTTAGAACACTGGGTCGACTGGTCGACTGGGTTCGGCAACGAAGTCAATTGCTTACTTTGGAACCGGTAAGGTTAGCTATGGCTAGGTCACATTTGCTGGAGTTTGAAGAATTGCCGGGGTCGCATCCCATCTGCCATTCAAATGCTTCGCAAAGCTCAATGCTCACCTACGCTAATGCCCCAATCACCTTTTACCAAATTAAAGATCAGACTGACACATGACCCCACCTCTGACGGCTGCCCCCCCCCCCCCCCCCCCACACACACACACCGGCAGCGCGGGGAGCGGGTGCAGCTGTTCCGTGCCGCCCTCCAGCAGCAGACTGAGATCATGGTGGAGAACATCCTCGGCCAGGGCATAGACCTCCACCTGCTCGGTCTACAGGAGATGGCCAAAGAACTGGGCATGAAGGAGCCCGAGCTGTTCCGGCACGAGACGTACAGGATCGCCAACCATTTCGGACTGTCCACGAGTCAGGTTAGAGATATAGAGATTGAGAACACAAGATTCCTTAGAACAGGTTTGAAGTCAGGTATAGGGAAATAAAGTAGTCAGGGAAATAGAAAAGCTATCTGTGCAAGGCAAAAATAAACATGGCTATAAGATTACGATACCAACACAGCAAACAAAAAATAAGCAAGTGCACACCAACTCATCGTCAAAACGTCATAAGTGTTGACTCCTTTATTTCCATCTAGCCAATAAGATTAAAAGATCGCTCTATCAGGACTCGAACCCCAGTTCCCCACTAACAAACACCTCCTTATCACCACCGCAGGTGCCCACTAAGAGTGGCGACACGTTCATGGGTTACGGCGCCGTGGTACCCGACGGCTACGGCTGCTCCTACAACCCGCAACCGGACAGCATCACCTTCTGCATCGGCTCCTTCCACGCCTGCGACATGACCTCCTCGGAGACGTTCGCCAACTCCATCACCGAGAGCCTCAACATGATGCACGACCTGCTGAAGTCGGACACATGGACTAGCGATATGTAGGCTTGGTGAAGATGATGAAAGGGTAATAGTCAAGGCGGTAAATGAGAGGAATGTGAAGAAGTATAGCACGTTCAAGTGTACGAAGAATTCCTGTTCAAGGAAAATAAGATGTGAGGAGGAATGGCTGATGCAAAATCCAAGTCAAAACGAGCAGATGATATAGACTTTATCTCTGTGATACAGAGTAGACGGCAAGGAAAAGTTGGACGTCAAAACGCTCGGGCGAAACGTCTGAAAAAGCAGAGTTGCTACATGCACAAGGACAGTGGCTTGGAGGCCGGAGCTGGCAGCAGAGACATTTGAAGACCTGGTATATTGGACATTGGATGTGGATAATTTATGCAAATGTCATGGCGAGACTCAGTTGGACGGCAACACACAACTAAGCCAGAAAAGAAGTCCACGATACTAGATATAGATAATTAGTTACGCTAGCCCAGAGCTGGCACATACCATGTACTCGAAACATTGCATTCAACATGATACTATGCTGAGTCGCACATAGCCTGAGCCAGGCCATTTTCGCATAGAATTGCCTATCAATATCACATAGCGATGATGGTTTGACGCATAAGATGCAAGCACTTGAACAGCGGTGGATCTCAGAAAAAGGATATTGAAATGCTTAGAGCATAGTTGCCAGTCAATCACTGAGATGTTGTGCTGTGCGCACATATTTGTAGAAGGAAAAGAAGATAAAGCAGCACACTGAACAAGACATAGCTCTTGTCAAAGCATAGATGCTCCTTGCCATTGTGATCCTAGCAAATGTCATAGTGTTTTAATGTTGTCTGTTACCTGCTTTATTGTGATATGAAGGAACCGCCCGAATGGTTGGAAAAGGAACGATCAGTTTCTATTTATTTATTAGCGCGAAGACGGCAAATTATTAGTTGAAGACTGTTGCTACGGGCATAAGAAATTCCCAAGGAATTCCAAAATTCTCAAAATTCCGCCTTGCGATATTTTACATTCAGACGCTCATTGTTCAGCTTCAAGCTTGAAGCGTACCTATCTTAATTTGATCTCAGTCAATGTGAGGCCCTTAGGATCTTACGCGTATCTCGAATTACGGGCTTTTGACATTGTTTGTTTGTTTGTTTGTTTGTTTGTTTGTTTGTTTGAAATTTGAATGACATATCTTAGGCGACGCTGGAATGGATCAGTTAGAACCCGATGTGCGCTGAAATGTTGTTGATCACAATCACTGTGATGCACTCAATTGCTAGGAGCGATATTTTTTGGTCCGTCGACGACCGTCTAGTCATGCTATCTCGTTTATTTGTTATCAGAGTGTCTACTTGTTAAAGGGACCCTCCCACCTTCAAAAAAGTTTATGAATTGGCATGAAAGTGATGTCGCTCGGTTCAGAAAGAGCGAAAACGAATATCTACCAAATTTCACCGAAAAATATTCACCGGTTTTCAAGATATTAGACTTTTACTTTTGTTTACTTTTTTGGGATCTCCGCTGTTTCTAGCGACTTTATTTTAGAAGTGCGGCGTTTGCGGCAGATGTTGCGCGCAAATAGCATATACCACCGCGTGGTACAAAACGTTTTAGTCAAACATTTAAAAATCGTTAGATATCTGCGCTGACGTCACACATTCAGAGGGGTATTCCTAAGCATTAGCCCCTCTGAATGAAAATGCTGCAATTTTGAAATTCAATATTTCCGATTTAAGGCATTTCTCGATGTTGTGAGTGCCGAAACCGGTAATTGTGAGCCAGGGACCCCATTTTGGCTATCTGAACTCAAATCTAATGTTAAGGTGGGAGGGTCCCTTTAAACGATACCTATACATATCACCCAGCGCATATCAGATTTATGTGACCATTGCTTAACGTACCCATAAGCGTTCAATAAGTCATGGGTCGTTATCTGGAGTATTGTTGTTACCAAGACTACAGACACAAAAATACTATCTACATATCAATACATGTGCTTTATTGCTTGTTGTTAACTGTTGCTGTTGATGTTATTTATTTTCCACCTATTGGTGTGAACGCGGCTTTAGATGCATATCATTTCGCTGTGACACTGACACAGGGTCTCGTTGTACGCTGTATTGCCTGTAAAGCTCGCTTTACACTGCACTTGTTTTGCCGTTTTCGCGGTGTGATGTACCCGGTAGGTGCCCGATGTGATTTAATGTGATAGATATTCGCCCGGTGTGGACTGAGCTTGTGAGTGGACGGCAGTGTTGTGGAATGGAGTGAAGTGGAAAAGGGTGGAATGTTGTCCACCTGAACAGAAGTGAGAGTAGCAATATACTGAAAATAGCGTGTTATGGAGTTTTCTCGTGACGATGCGAAGTGAAGTTCAGTTGTCGTTTAGAGATAAGAAAACAGCGGCAAGTGCATTACCGAAACATGACTCGGGAATCGCAAAACACTTCATGGAGCCTTCTGTGGTTATTCAAGTGAGAATCGATAAAACAGCTATCTAGCCATAAGGCCATCACAAAGGTATCTGAGCGACTGTATTAGCACGAAATTGCACTTCAATACAGTCGACTCCTTATATACACAAGCAATGTACAAACCAACCACGGCGGATCTGGCGACATTACGCACGGGTAAGTACAAATGTCGCAATATCTAGGGATGTTGGATCCATCAGACATTCACAAAAACAATCCCTCGAATATCCTCAACTCGGTGCTGAAATTCAGTATCATGACTAACACGGCGAGAACTGCACATACAGACACCGGCACATTTCAAAATCAATTAAATAGCTGTAATGCCGCTTGGATACTTCGGTCAGGTTTCGCACTGACCGCGTACCCAGTACCCACATGAGACCTCCACATTCTGCGGTGTTTAAAAAATCCTTAATAATGCAATTATATAATAGGACGGCCAGTTTATAGGTTACTTAAACCAAACTCATGAAGGAAACGGGAATAACAACGAAAATTGACGATTCCGAACATACTATTGAGCAGTTTAGGCATCACACCGAAAAAGGGCCCATTATATGCTCAGTTCACTCGTACTGGCTTTTGCAAAACAACACAGTGTATCGCTTAGCTCCTGGCTTGCCAGGTTCGTATGACATTCATAATCGGCATTGTAAAATGAAAGCAATCGTGCCAGCACAACTATTCTCTTCATCGTTTCCTCCACACTGACTGCAATAGCTTACACCCACAGGGGAGCAATGCCGCTTCAACCCTATTGGCCGTAGTGTCTAACGGTGGCGGCCATATTGCGCAGACCAGAAACCGGCTGCCGCCTGTGTTGAGGAATAGGGAATTCGGGACCTCGATTTACGTTTGCGGCCGCCGTATCCGTTACGTTCAAGTTACGTAGATACGGAACCCGGCATCTTACGCAGAATTGAGTGGGGAACACGATCGTATCTTCAGAATTCCTCAAATTTACTCGCCTGACCTACATTTGCCCCGGCCGAGGGGGTTGATTGAGCCCACCTCGCTAATGCACCGCTAATTAAACTAGAATTAAGCGGTAAAGTGGTCGTATGCGGCAAAGTATAATGCAGAGTGACTGGTAGGAACCCACTGTAAGGGTCTCAGGTCAACCGGTGACCTCTGAGGTCAGGTCAAGTGATCTAAGGCACGGGTTCGGTTTTTGGTAAATAACTTCGTCAAAAATGGCCGTAGAGCCGCGATTTTGGCATCATCGTGTTCAGCTAACTCAGGCGCATCGAGTGATATACTTTTTGTTCGGGTCAGGTCAACTTAGGGTGTTGACCTCAGGTCAAGGTCAGGTCAGCACCCCCAGGTCACGAAGTTGGTCGAAAGAGGTCATGTCGCATATCATTCGATTCGGCAGGTCTTCCTGAGTCCATTGGTGGCTTTCCCGACTCGCTAGCTCAATTTGATCGGGAGTTATTGAAGAAAAATGGTGACCCTTGTGACGTCACAAATGACGTCACGCAAGGGCAACAATGCAAATATGAAGCATAGAACCTTGCAAAGAGTGCATGAAATCATGATTTTATATGCTTGAGATAGTTTCAGATCATTCTCGGCGCCAAAATAACAATTTTCATATTTCCCCATTGACTTATAAGGTTTTAACGTATTAGTTCCTTATAGCTGATGATTTTTTAGGATTTCATCTTGTTCTCCACTCAATTCTGCGTAAGATGCCGGGTTCCGTGTCCACATAGCTTGAGCGTAACGGATGCAGCGACCGCAAACGTAAATCGAGGTCCCGAATTCCCTATTCCCCAGCACAGGCGGCGGCCGCTTTCTGGTCTGCGCAACATGGCGGCACCGTTGGACACCATTTGGCGGCCGATGCGCATTCCACATTATAGAGTTCAGTGCTTACACCAAACGCAGCTATAAACCGTCCAGCGCCACAGTTTCCAATACCGCCCACAGATGTCGCTAGTGTGGCACCGCCAGATGGCAGCACTACTCATTGTCGTGCAGCACAGCCTGCCGGTCCAGGAGATCCACGTAGCTCTTGCCCACGAACAGCAGTCCGGTGGCAGTGGTCATGCCGACAATGGCGCGGAAAGTGGCGCACTCGGGCGTGGCCTGGCGCAGGATGGCGAACAGCAGCACAGAGCCCATGTTGAACACCAGGGAACCGAACAAGCTGCACCGGGCACCATCGATGAGTCAGGTCAACTACGTTGGATGGAAGCAACTTCTAGATCGAACTTTGAGCCAACGGCTTCTATATTACTGAAAAACTCAGTTGTTGAATGATGAGTTATTGTGATCAATTACCAATGATTTGTGGCTAACTAAATTGATAAGTTTAAGTCCTATGCCCTAGATATGCCCTATCATTAAAGTAGGTTGGACTTGGAGGTATTAGAATGAGTATCAAAAAGCGTGGGTTACAATTAATCGTGTTAATTTATATGTATTTGAAATGTATTTCATTAGAAAATCTTCTAAGTATCCAAGAATTAACTGTTTGGAATTAAACTGCAATCTATGATAATTTGTTAATGCAAACCCAATTCAAAACAAACTATAATAAAAATTGAAAAAAGGAGGCTGCTACTACATCAACTACTGCAACATCCCTGTTCAGTGTTCACAGAAAGAAACATGCCTATAGCCAGAGATAGCTGCAAGAGAGCTGATACCAACGATCATTCAAGCAAGCCATGATACAGTTCAACACTGATTACGAGCGAGCGAGCGCAGCGAGCGAAGTGAGTCTTTTCAATATAACGGAAAAATCTCAGTATGAGCGGCCCGGCCTGTAACGCTTTTGAGAGGCTTATATCTCAGCAACCGCTGGACCGATTGGCCTGCGGTCTTTTTTGTTGGGTAGTCCCATCCCTTCTACCCCGTAATTGACTACTTTTGATACATCTCAGTGACCGTCGTGGCACGTGCCACGTGAAAAGTCAAGGGTGTTCAAGCTGTTTTGCAAAAGTAATGATTTTGAGAGGCTCATATCTCAGCAGCCGCTTGGGCGATTGACTTGCGGTAATTTTTGTAGGGTAGCAGCATCCCTTCTACCAAAAATAGGATACTCTCGATGCATGTGGGTCACCCCCAGTGCACGTGCAAAATACAACAATAAGAGGTGTCAAATTTGTTCCCATTTTAATAACTCAGTAATTACTGGGGCGATTTCGCTGAAACTTGGCATACAGGTAGGCACCCACCAGGCAATGCATTCCCATGTGTTGCGGTTAGGGTGCTACTGCACGTGCGCACGTGCAGGGGGCGTTTCCAGATCTCGAGAACGGCTGGGCCGATTGCGCTCAAATTTGGTACACGGTTGGGGACCGGTTAGTAGGGTGCCGTGCAGAAGTCATTTTGGACCCCGTTTGCACGTGCGCACGTGCAGAATGCCGCTTCCAGATCTCAGGAACGGCTGGGCCGATTGCGTTCAAATTTGGCACACCGCTAGCGACCGGTTAGAAGGGTGCTTTGCACAACCTCGTTGGAAGTACCCTCTCGCCCTTCCGCACGTGCAGGGCTCACTATCTCGCTCGCTCGTTCTTCGCCCAAAAGGCGTTTTACTGGTGTTACTTTATTCAGGATCTACCAGTTACCACTACAGAGCAAAGCATCCTGCCAAGGGTTTCATGAACTAGCAGCATGCACTACCAGAGTCAACGAGACCTTACCTGAAGGTAAGTCTCTTGCAGATGTGCTGGTGCCTCAGATGGCGGCTGCCATACAGGTAGAGCGCCAGACCCACGTTGGCATGCAGGAGGGCCACGTTTGAGGCAGGAATGGAGCGCGGCAGCAGCCTGGGGGCCAAATGCGACAGTGAAATAAAATGACAAAAGGTTTAGCAATAATATTTCATGATTTCTGACTCTGCTTTTTCTATGTATTGCACAGAAGATGTTGTTAGACTTCATAAACTACACAGTCCCCACTACATCCAGTCCAGGCAACCAGCCTTTGATCTGGAATAATAAATAAACAACACGAGCACATCTACCTTTATATCAACTTACGGCCAAGAGCTAAGGATGGCAGGATGCATCACATGTCCAGCAAAAGCGACATAGCATGTCGCCCCTTTCATTGGATAGTAAAAATACAAAATGTTTTCTTTGGTGATACGACGGAGCCTCATCTTCACCAGAGCATCATTCAGCTTCTCCATGACTACTCCTGAAACGGCTGAAACCAAACAGGGAATTCTTGTAGCTCGAGCCAGTGTACCTAGATACAGGTCAGAGCAGTAGGTGGAACTATGGTCATGAGTACCCAAATATAGGAACGTTCCCATTTTTGGGAACGGAGTTCCCAAATATGGGAACGGGCGTTCCCATTTATGAGAACGGAAGGTAATTTTTCGGCCGTTCGCCCACTAAAACTCATTAGTGCACCACGTCTCAAAAAAGTGCACGCTAATTTAAGTATCTACTAAGTCTCTATAAAATTATCTTTAATCTGACCGTCGAACAAGGAAATTGACCGTCGAATGATATTTTAAATGATTTTTTGAAATGACGGAATGGTGAAAACATGGGTTATTCTACATTTAACATGCAATTTTAAGGAAAATGAAGCGTTTTTTACATTTTGAGGTCAAGTATAATAATTTTCGCCTGGTTATGAAGTTTCATATTAGCGACACCAGATGCTGACATATGCAAGCGAACACGCGGACAGTCCCGAGGTAATATTGTTGACTTTTGGTGTCGGGGCGCACGACCTCGTGGAACGTCAGTGATTTTACCGAACTACTGTTGTATACTCAGCTTTAGTGGTTTAAAATTATTCAGCTGTATTTTATCAGCCCGGAAAGACATGTTTTATTTGGATGCTAGCTGTTTAGCGTTGTTTTATAAGGAGCGTCATGAGCGTGGTTTTTGTCTTCCGTGTTTCTAAGCATGATCGTTTTGGGGGAATTTCTCTTATATAGGTCGCTCTGTGTGGCTTGTTTATAATTTTTATGCTGATTTCGATCATTCCTCGTGCCCATCCTACCAGGCCTTTTGCCACTTACACTCATTAAGAAAGGAAAAAACTAGATTTTCATTGGAACTAGGTGTTTTGAGTGTGTAACATATTCAGCGTTCCCATTTTTGGATACTTCCTTGTGCTCGTCAACTATCAGTGTTAAACAGACAGGTGCTTGACATGTCTCCACCCTCGGCGCGGACGGTGGATATAGGTATGGAAGACCTTGTTGAACATCGCTGAGCGTTGTGAATTACGTAATCCTGCAGAGGGGGGCGTGCCCGCTGCGAGATCGACGGGAATAAAAGCGCAGAAGACCGGGCGAAACATGCGACGGTCTTGCCGGAAAGGTCATCTGATGATTGTTGCGTTAACAATGATTTGCGGCGTTGGACGTGATGCTTGTTAATGAAAAGAGCCCCTGAAAGGCGTCGGTGAAATCGTTCCCAATATTGGGTACGCCGTTCCCATAATAAGGAACGCTTGCAGCGCCAGTGTATGAGAGCGTTCCCAAATTTGGGCTCGCGGCCCGGATGATGGACTGCTTTAGAAATAGGGGAACGACTTGAAACTACGATGGACCTTACAATATCAAACTCTTTCCCAACAATATTGAGACAAATATCAGGCGGTTCACGGTCGTTTTATATTTTTTGGACGTCATTTAACAGTTCCTTTTCTTGTTTTAAATAATGCCTACATGGCGTTCCCATATTTGGGTTTATCGTTCCCAAACATGGGAACGAAAATGCGTTCCCGAAAATGGGTACGCTTGACCATAGTTCCGCCTACTGAGAGATAAGTACACAATGAATTGGAATGATTAAATCAAGGCGATGAAATGGAAATATTTGACGCAACAAAAATGAAATCAAAATATCATTAGGTATTGACACAAGGCAATGTGGTGGCTCAATCTGAATCGGCAAAAAAAAAATAACTTCAATAGTAGCAAACCACGTCACATGACAAAATCAAAATCAGCATATTGGATTAATTGTTTGGCATGACCAACGTACCTCAAACTTGAATAACGCCGAAATATTGCCCTGAAGTCCTTGAATTGTTATGAAACAATGCAATGCAACAATGCAATCGCTGATGATGCTGATGAGGTGGTCGGGCTGTCACCTTTGCATCGGTAGCCAGGGCGCTGTTCGGCAGCCGGCTATTTTGTGTGCAGGGTATGACGTATTTCGCGAGCCGACGTCACAGGCGGTGACGTCGGCTCGCGCGCGAGCCGAGCGCCAACGACAAACTAACGGGAACCCTCGGACACCCTCGGGGCATAAACCGCGGAGTAGCATATTGAGCGAGTCTTATAAGGAAAATTCATATATTTTCGTTTCTCAAATGATAATCAGGGTGTCTCTTACCTTTTTACATATCATTTAGGCTTACCTAACACTTGAGTTGCCAAATATCTGCAATTTATTCAAGCGAAGGTATTTTCAGTAAATATCAATGGTATAGACCGAAATCTTTTGAATAAAAACTCCAACCAACAGAAATAAAAATAACTTAATTTATTCCAACCATTTCCTCCAAATAAACAACATAAAAACTCACTTTTACACACATCATTCATAATAAAGCATACTAACACGCCGCTTTTGACAATTGCGGCGTCAAGTGGCGCGCTGCTAGCGCTCTTTTTCGATCGCAGAGACCCTGCACGCGCGCGAGCACACTACGTCACGTCCGGTGGGCACAGGTATATGAAAAATCGCAGTGACGTAACACTTTTCTCGCTTCTCATTGGTCAATAGCCCGTTGCCGGGGTAACGTGCACGTATGTGAGCGCGGGCAAGAGTACTAGCCGGCCGCCGATCAGGGCTCCTATAAACACAGGTCGGGTGGGAGGGCTTCAGTGGGAAGCTCGCTGCTGCAAATCATGTTTGTCTCAAACACGCCAGATATATAACAAGACTAAAAGCTTGCTGCATCTAAATTTTGTTATCCAGTTTCTATGTCAAATTGCTGCCTAGTTCTGATCAAACGGTTTGTATAGACTTGATGTTGACATTTACAGCAGCAACAAACATGAATTAATAATCTATTAAAAAGGTTTTATACCTTTATAGAAATGACTTTTTCACAAAAACAAATACAATGGACGCATACCTAAGCTTATGTAAACCACTGCTGCTCAGCAGCCGCCAGCCCACTGCTTAGCGTTGTGTAATGTGTTCTCGCCATACCATGACCAAGACCCTGACACCTGATATGTGTTTAGCTCTGGGCCACTAGCTCTTTTTTCCATTACGTATCAACTTCGTGATGCATATTACCAGTACCTATATCACTCTGGTCTTCTACTGCATTTTGCCGGTTCAGCTTCGTCGATATATTCCATAAGCTATGATTTGAGAAAATTTTCCCAGTTACTTCAGTGATTTCTATCATCTTATCTTCCTTCCATTTCGTTGGATGCCCAAATTTGACAGGATCCGCCAGCGCTTACGCATTTTGAAGACGATTGGTGGTAAAAACCAGTAAATAAAATGTCAGATGAGTCATGACTTCAAACGCGATTAATCACTTATATTAACAACGGATTGCACAAATTACACACGTAAGTAGACATAACTATCTATGATGCTCAGATTCCTTCACCAAAACTCGCAAGATATCACCGAGCACCTATAGCGAGAAATACGCAATCATCGGCACAAGACCTTGGTCCCATTGGTTACAACTTGGCACAACATTCATAAGATACTCTAATATCGTAACCTAACAGTCAGCTGGCCACATACACCGAACATGGCGAAAAATAAGCAATCTTCCATACACAATCTTGGTCCCATATGTTACATGGCACAAAATTCATTAGATACTGTAATCTCGTACCCTAACTGCTAACAGCTAACTGGCCAGTAGCCACACAATATATAGGTACTAGGTAGGTAGTACCATAAATATCTCGAAACATCACCTTTCCGTAATAAGGCGGAAATTAGTACATTCACAATACGTAGCTGCCTTGAGATTCCCGTTGCGCCAACTACTGACGAACAACCAAATATTGCACACATGTTGAAGCATTTAGACAAACAAATGGATGAGTATTATTCCGGCAGTATGCCTCATACTGGAAACAGCACGGATAACGTAATGTTGAGTACAACGCACCTAGGTCAATCCGAAAGGAATACAAACATCGACCGCATTGAAAAACGTAATGTCACAACATTAATTGGACCCTAAAATAAAAACAAATCTTACAAAATATAACACAAATTGTAAGCGTGAGTGAGAAGTAGTGGTGTCAATTTCAGAAAACGATTGTCCAATGTCCGTCCAATGTCCATACTTACGTCGATTGCCCGTCCAAAAAAGTCCAAGCCAGCCATTTGTCCAAAGATGTCCGACACCTTCGCAATAGTTAACGCTCAACATTGTTATTTAATTTGCTTTTAATGTACCATTACCAGCTCAAAAGTGTTAATCATATCGAAAGCTGAGCTTTCTAATAGCCAATCAATGTTAAACACGATTACTTTATAAAAATGTTGAGGTGTAGCAAGCGATTGTCCAAAGTTATCCAAAGCCTGCTGTCATTGTCCAACCGAATTCCGAATTGGACATTGGACAAAATCGGAATTCCGAAGGTTCAAGTTCCGATTGACACCACTAGTGAGAAGTGTCGCCTCTTTTGTTCACGAAGACGCTTCTGAGTGGAGCCTTGCTAGACAATTCTGCATGGCTGTTATATCTCATAATTCCTGAACTTCCGTACCAGATCACTTCCTTCGGATCTGCGCCACTGTGCTAGGTATGGTCGGTCCGAGCGAACGGACTGACCCACAGTGGAACCTCCCCCTAGAGTGGACTCGCCCGCAGTATGACCTCCCCTCGGAGCTGAAGTGGACTCGTCCGATGACCCGGCGCCCGGAGGTAGCATACGGTCGGCAGTCTTCGGCGTCGCCCAGTGCATTGACTGTGGAAGAAAAACAATAGATGAGATGAAAACTGCTGTGGTAAAATGACCGGTGTGAGAACCCTGAATTTCAGAATCTTTGGCGTACCTATACCTTCCGGCTGTACTGATGAAATAAAAGGTGTCTATTAGCGCGTATACGTTCGAAGGAGCTTCTTTCCACATACAATAAAATCAAACAGAATGTGATCCGACAAGTGGTTCGACTATCGCACGATCTCTGCTTTGCAAACAACTTCACTAGACACTAATATTCAGTCTCAGTCTCGAGCATGTCACAAGGAGGCTAGAAAAGCATACACTAATACGAGTTAAATACATTATCGACATTAAAATCGATCACTGACCGTTTTCACCGAGTCCCTCATGGCCAGCCACTCCTTGAACGGGATGGTCAGTCCACTGGCGCGCCACTTGTCGTAGGTAGCGCGTCGCTCCTCGTCACACAGCGTCTCCTTGGCAAACTGCCAACAAAACCGATACCTATTTTCACTGGGTAGTTACAACTGGTAATGTTACACAATGACATTCAATGAATAAGCTCCACGAAACACAAAAAGAATGTACGTAGATTCAAATAACGACAGAGCCATAAAAGCATATGAGGTTATTCAAAGCCTAGAAATATGTATGCATCACGCCACCTATACATATTAAAAGCACATAATACATTAAGCAAATAAGACGCAAATGTCGTTTTGATGTTGAACCCATTTCTGAGGTGTAGCGTAGGTAGACGATCAATCAGTAAACTGTCCGTAGCTCATTCATCCCTGATTCGGTTAACAAGAGAACCGAACTCCCGCCGGTGAAAGGCCAAGTTTGAGTCACTCCGTGCCCGAGTTCGAGTCACTCCGGCACTCGCCACTCGATGTATAGTCGACTACAGAATGCTGTTCCACTTTTCACAGGCAATTATTTGCCTGGGGTGGTAGGCTGTGCCGCATCACACGGGCTGAGTTCACAAATTACAGCCAGTGTGGTTAAATTCATTTTACGTTAGTGGGAGGATGTAAAAAAAAAGACTGGGAAGAATGTCGTTATTTTCATAAAACTTGACTTCGACCATTTTTAAGCACTGTTTTTATATATTTCACTAGAAAATGATGTAGAAATATTAAATACTGATAAAACTTTGAAGGCATTCTGATATTCGGGATGTTAAATGAGGTTTTAAAGTCGGGTCATATATTTGAACATTTTGGTTATTCGAATGGCTGTCTTGGCGTGTTGTGAGAGTTCGCGAGGTTTGTGTTTCTCTTGCTCCTAGACGTTTGGGTTCGAGATTATTATTATAAGTCGTGACTGCCGTATGGATGTTTTTATTTACATTTTTAGGATGTCATTATACTTTTCGTTATGGGTGGATTTCCCCGCAACATTACAATCTTGGACACACTGATTACAGCTTTGCCCCAATGCTCACAATCGACACGCTTAATTGCGTGATAAACGGCACAACTTAGCGCTCCGGTCAACTGATAGCTTCTGCGGAGTGGAACATCATTCTGTAGTCGACTATACATACGAGACTCCTGACGGGATAGTCCCAGTTCGAGTCGCTCCAGCGCTCGATATCAAGTACTCCTGACGGGATAGTCTGCGGTTGATGGGAGCTGGGAGTAGCTGGGAGTCAGTCAGAGAGACGAGCGGCTGGCATCCGGCTAAATAGACACGACAAACGTTGGCTTTCGAATCCTTGCGATGAACTGGGCCCTGTTTCACCGGTGATAGCAGCACGCTACTATCAAATTGCGCGAGCTGACGTAATGTGATGAGGTCACACTAATGACGTTTCGTGTAATCCGTGAGCTGAGTTTGGAACAGAGTTGCTGTCTCGTTGAATTGCGTTTGATACATTTGTTTGATCGCACAGCCGTGAAGATGTTAGCAGCAATATTTGATGACATCACACAGATTGACGGCGTCATGGTTTGCCGATGTTTCCATGGAAACCCAATTTGACACGTGTGATAGCAGCGTGCTGCTATCACCGGTGAAACAGGGCCCTGGAATCCACGGTCGATAATCTGGAATTTTCCGATAAACAATCCGAAAATTTACCAATTACATAGTAGAGGTCAGGGCCTGATCAAGTGCCCTGCACAGATTGGAGCTTGGTTTGGTTAGTCTGCTGATTTGATGCATTTGAGTCACATATTTTACCTACAACCGCCCAATG